AAATGGGGTTCAACTGGTCAGTGCCCCCTCCAGTACTCCTTTGGAGCACTGCCCAAGGCTCCTGTGGGCTCAGGCCACCCACCTTCCCAGAGCCACATTCTCTGCACGGTTGGATCTACTGCTCATCCTCCTGGCTTCTCCCAGAGCCCAGAAGTGCTGGCAGGAGGAGCAGAGCACTACCATCTCATTTACGATTTCCCAGCATTGTTCAAGCTCCTTCCCCGCCATTCCCCAGGCAGAGGCCAAGAGCAGAGCCACCCCCAAAGCCGCAGGGTCGGGAGCAGGTGGCAGTGGCCCATGCATGGCCTGTGGGTTTGGCTCCCTCTGCTCTGGAGGGGCATCATCTGGCAGGAAACTGCCAGTAAAGCTGCCCTTAAGCAGCAGAGCAAGTTAATAGGAAAAAACGGTTGAGACTAACATCATCATCTTTAAGTGAGAAAAAACTGCTGTAACATTTTCCTTAGTTTTCCTATCCATTATAGTTCTCAATTTAAAAGAAACAAGGAAAGTCAAATGCACATGCTTTAAAACACAGCAAAAGTTGAACAAGCCTTTGTATAATTAAGGTGGTGAATGGAGGGAAGCAGCAGTATCAGAGACATTTCCTTGGCCTGAGAACAGCTCAAAAAAAGTCAGAGTGAAGGAATCCAGAATCTGATCAATGCTAACACTGATCTCTATTGACAGATCTGCAACGATACATTGTGTGCACTCCAGCACTACGAATGAAGTAGGACTACAAACACCAACATCCCTAACTTGGTGTTCAAAGCATCATAGCACTGAAAGGGAAGGTCATGGTGGGGATTGAACTGGTCATTGTTACACCTTTGAGTATTTGTGCTCCTTTAAGTTTAACTCTGGTCAACCATCCCCCTTTCTATTACATCTGCAGGAGTATGTATTGCTGACAAAAACTTGAAATTCTGTGTCTAAACAGCTTTTTCTCTGGGTACTCCAACATATTTTATGGCAAATTTTAATTACTGAACTCTAATAGATAACCCACATTATCTTAATTGAAAGAGCAAACATTAATCAAATTTCACATATGGAATGATCCTTCCTTATATGTAAAAATTAATGGATGAAACATTAGTAAAGAAAATATACTCTGCTTTTGAAAACAGAGAAATCTGAATGGACAGCAACCGAAAAGCCCCTTAAAAACAAAACACTACCAGCTTCATCCAATATTCTTGTTTAAGAAGCAAAGTGATGAAGGGGAGAGAAATGCTGCGAATCACCGACACAGAGAGGCTGGAGTGGGAGGTCTCTCAGGCCCAAGAATATTTCTGGTTGTCAGAGGCTAAAAAGATTATTTATTGTTTCCTTCCTAAACCCAGCTCCACTGCCACCTGTTCAGAATTTACTATAAAGCTGTTAAACAAGACGAGAACTTTGATGCTGACTGTGAAAACAAGTTTCACTGTATCTGACCCGAGCAGCACTCACTGCTGATCCAGAAGCAAAGGAATTTGATTTTTTTCTTTAAGCACAGCTATCTTTTTACCTTTATAAGCTGTTTAAAAAATGTAAATAAAATAACTCAGTGGACAATAGAGGGCATTCATCCCCCAGAAAGACAGCCGCCACCCTTAGACATGAAATATCGCAGCACATTAAGTCATGAGACCCCGCTAATCAAAGCTGACAGGGCCCTGAATGTGATTTCTGCTGAGACTTAGCGATATCATGGGGCACTGAAGCATGCACAGCCTGCCAGACTGCCCCTGTTCATGTGACAATGGCTTTTATTCCCCAAAGGGGCCTGCGAGTGACAAGAGTCCCCTTTGTCTCCGGGCTCCCGCATTCGCAGTGCAAGAGAGGTTCATTCAACCAGCCCCAGACACTCTTTGAAAGGCTGAAGTGTAACATAAGATGACCATGAAACACTAGCTTGCCTTCTGCCTACCCCTCATTCTTCTCCAGCACAGCCTGGCCTATTCAGGGCCTCTCGCAGCCCCGCTCGCGCTGCATTACCCCCGGTCTGCTGAATCCCCGCATTGTCCCGGCCCCGCACCCAGAGCCCTTCCCACACACAGCCCCCCGCACCCAGAGCCCTTCCCACACCACAGCCCCCCGCACCCAGAGCCCTTCCCACACACAGCCCCCCGCACCCAGAGCCCTTCCCACACCACAGCCCCCCGCACCCAGAGCCCTTCCCACACCACATCTCCCAGCACCCATCACTCTTCCCACACCATGTTCCCCCAAAGCCCTCCCACACCATATCCTCCTGGCAGCATGGCTGGGCTCTGGCACCACTGGCACAACCCAGGTTGAGGGCAGCACAGAGCCACGGCTGGCTTTGGAGGGATTCTAGGAAGGGGACAAAGCTGCTACACTTCACCTGGAACTCCCTGAGTGGGAATGCTAAACCCTCCCATCTCCCCACACTGTGGGGGCCATGATGGGCAGAGTTGGGAGCCCCTCACTCTGCTCCCAGTGCCTGGCGCTCCTCCAGCAGCTGCTCACTCCACTCACAACAGGATGGATAAACCCCCAAAAGCGCCCAGACACCTCAAACCCCCACTTACACATCCCTGCTTTTTCCCAAGCCGCTGTACCCGCTGTTTTCCTGCATCCCGGGAGCACTAGTGCCATCCACTGGCCCAGCAGGTGCCTCCTCACCACAGCCGGAGCTGCCAAACCAGCACCGAGTCACTCCACCCGCGCCATCGTCCTGGGCCTGGCACCGCCTGGGCACCCCCCTGACCCCTGTCCCACCACTGCCCTCCCACAGTGCCCTGACCCTGCTCAGCCTCCTGCCAGCTCCACTAAAACCAGGCGCAAGGGAGGGCTGGATTCATTTCAGAAACAAACAACTGCCACGGCCATGCCCAGGGAGCTCTGGGATCTCATTTGCCAAAGGAAACTTTCTCCAAAACCTCCATGAGGGAAAGGGAGCCTTAACCCTCTGGGCAGAGATCCATGGTTGGCAAACCACAGACAAAGGGAATAATCTTCCCTAAAATAAGTCCTGGAATCACAGACTGGTTTAGGTTGGAAGCACATCTCATCCCACCCCTCTGCCATGGGCAGGGACACCTTCTACTAGCCCAGGGTGCTCCAAGCCCCGTCCAACCTGGCCTTGGACACTTCCAGGGATGGGGCAGCCACAGCTTCTCTGGGCAACCTGTGCCAGGGCCTCCCTACCCTCACAGGGAGGAATTTCCTCCCAACAACTAATTTACATTTCTCCTCTTTTAGTTTAAAACATTGCCCCTTGTCCTATCACTTTCTGCCCGTGCAAAGGTCTCCCTTACTCTTTTTTATAAGTCCCTTTAAGTACTGAACTGTAAAACATCCACTGTCTTATTGCAAATACAGCAAGAAAATAAATAATGGCAGTCAGGATTTGCATAGGTTTCTGTCCTTTCAGGTGAGAGACTGAAGAGCCAAAAATCCTACATGTGAATCTGCTTCACTGCTCCAGCTGAGAGATGAGGAATAGCAGGATGGACAGACACCCTCAGCCCACTGCAGTGCTCAGAGCCTGAGCTCCAGGTTGTTTGGGGTTATTTGTTGTGAACTGAGGTATGTTCAGTCCCCAAGGGCAGTAAAAGATTTCCTGTTATTTTTGAAGATATTTCTATTCATCCGTCTGGTAACAAAACAAAACTAGAAGAAAGTTATGGCTGAGAGTGAGAAGCTGTTGAGGTTTCCTGTTCTTCACACTGGGAATGAGCAGCAAATGAGCTCTGCTGAGGAAGAAAAAACAGAAAAACAACTCCACAAAAAAAATTTACAGCTTTCCAAAACCAGATCTAGAAAGAACTGTGTTTCTCATGAAAACAACAAATATCTTTGGAGCCATGAACTTAAAAATCCCACTTGAATATAGTCAAATAGGACAATATTGTTACAACTGTCAAACACATTCAAAAACTTTTTGAGCAAAAGAGTGAGTCTCCAGCAGCTACCTGGGAATTTTGAACCAAATACAAAATATCTTTGTTTCAGTATTCGAAGAAATCAACATGAATGGAACTCCAGGATCTCACTAGGGAATTCAGCTTTACAGAAGAACAGGATTTTTAATACTGCTACTTGAGATTTTCCTTTTGCTAAACAAGATCAAGCTGTTCTACACTATCCAAGCGAACCACCTTCCTGGGAGAAAAAGAAACCTATAGTTTTTGTCTTTAAAACAGAAAGATCATAGAATGGTTGAGAAGGTCCTTCAAGACCACCCACTTCCACCCCCTGCCATGGGCAGGGACACCTCCCACTAGCCCAGGTTGCTCCAAGCCCCGTCCAACCTGGCCTTGGACACTTCCAGGGATGAGGCAGCCACAGCTTCAGTGGACAGCCTGGGCCAGGGCCTCTCCACCCTCACAGGGGAGAATTCCTCCCTAATATCTCATCTAAAGCACTGGCACTACTGTAGTTTGCTCATGAGAACGTGAGAACTCCCAAGGCCACCAAGGTATATCCGTGATGCCAGAGATGCTGCAGTGCTGTAACCCCAGGGTAGAACACAGAGGCTCCTGGGTGCAGTGAACTCCTGCCTGGATCAGTTACACAGTTTGAATATGAGCCTCACTGGTAAAGAGGCTTCAAAACTCCTCCAGCTGAGAATTGAGGTTGGGGCAATCACTGAGTTTTCCAAGCCCTCTGGCTGCAGGCAGGCTGGAGATAGTACAGCAGGTCTATGACTGGCTACCAAAATCCTTTCTTTTCTTGCTATGGAAAAGGAAAACAAAAAAGAACACAACCATCCCCTTAAATTCTCTACATTAAACCCTATTAACCTATTACTTTCAAAGGTCAGAGAAGGAGGGGAGGGAGGATTCCCTGGCATTCTGTACTCAGCTAGCAGAAAAGTTGAGGCTGGACATAGCTCCTGTACAGGGGAAGAGCCTGCTAGGCTGCAGCATTCACAGCGTGCAGCTGCTGGGATGAAACGGAATTCACATTGAAATGCATCCAAAAAAAAGGACACAGACATTCACAGAGAGCTGGGAAGGTAAATTTATTTGAAAGACATGACCCACCTCTTTGTAATCGCCCTTGAGATAAAGATGACTGACATGTTCAAGCAAATAGTTCCGGTCTGCTGTGTGGAGCTGGTAAATGCTGATCAGGGGGTCAAGCAGATTAGCTGGGCACTGGGAGAGGATTCTGAGCACACGGGCCTGCAGCTTCTTCAGCTGGATGCCAGACTTGAAAAAACCAAAGCAAAAATCAAACATGGGTTTAGTAAAGATGGCTGAGATTCAACAGCAGTGGGAAATGCAGCTTGTTTAAACAGAATAAGCCAATTCCTTTGGAAGGGATTCTCCAATTTCCCCACGGAGTCTGCAAGCACAAATCAGAACAATATGATACACGTTATTTTCACAGCATCCAATTCAAAAACATGAAGAGTTTGCGGGATAATTCTGGAGAAGGGATACGGCCTTGTGCAAAAGTAAAATCTGAAACTGGAAAAATGCCCTCTGAACTAGCACAGCTCTTCAGAAATTCTCCTCTCTAGTTCTCAGCAGAAAATCTTTGAATCCAGAGACTCCCCTCCAGGGAGATCTCACCTGTCAGGCATAAGAATTCCATTTCACTCCCAGGCTTGCTCCTGGGTGCAAGAAGGGCAGGAAAAGCAAAAGCACCATCAAAAGATGCACAGACACAGGTATTTCCCTTGTGTTTCCCACATGATCATTCATGACACAACAATTTCCCACACTCGTGACTCAGGAATTTCAGTGGCAGTAGCACTTTGCTGCACTTTGCAGATCCTGTAATGGCAGAGCTCAACATCTAACCAGAGCCATTTGGAAAAATGTGAAAGGAAGCAACACAAATATAAAAGTATCCTGCAGTTCAGAGCCAACAGCTTATAGGAAAGAGAAAATCTCTTTTCCGTATAGGTCAGAATATGTAAAGGCAGAAGGAATGGTAAACATTAGGAAGTATAATCTGATGATCCAACATTACAGAACTAATCATTCGGCTGCTGAAAAGGCAGACTGTTCCCATTTTCTGCATTCCCACCATATGGCAGGAGTTAAGCAATCCTACAGTAACTGGCGTCTATTTGTGGAGCTGGAAGAACACACAGAGCAGATTACTGCAACTGGGTTTATCCTGACAGCAGGGATGTGAGTTCCAGTGGGAGAGCCTCCAGCCTGGAAAGGCTGCAAGATCAACGCTCCATCGAAGTGGTTTGATCTGGAGAGCTGGAAAGCCCAACTTGGGAAGGGAAACAGAGTTCTGGCATCACAGCTTCCAATATGATTTCATTTTCAGACCAGCATGCCACAGACAACAACATCTCAGTAAGAGTTTCACACCTTGTCACACTGTGTATAAGGTTACAGAGAAGATGCTGGACTATGGAATAAAGTGAAAGTGGAGATACTTGAGGCATATTAAAATCAGTCCCTCTCTCCCAACTCTCTTCTAACCTGTGGAACAGCAGGATGCTCTTTTATCCAAAGCTGCAGCTCTGTGGTGATGCAATACCCCAGGGAATGCCCTTTCCCCTTCCAATCACTGCTGTTCTCCAGCATGGCCAGGAGTCCTGCCAAAGGGTCCTCCAGTCCGGCAAAGCCCCGCCTGATTTCTTCCTTGAGCTGCTGAGATACAAAACCACATTGTCACATACAAAAAGATTAGTGAATCCTCCCTTCCCCCAGCTGAACACAAAGCTTTATTTTTTTAAATTTAATCTATTCAGAGAGGTAACTGTTGCTATTCAGCCACCATCCGCGCCTCCAGTGACTTTTCATGTCATTACAGATTCCTTCATGGCTCACTGCACCTCAAACCCAATGGGAAAAGCAGCAATTGTCCACACTAATTATCCCATAAAGACAGAGAAGTTGTTCTGTGGGGCAGACAAAGGGGCTTGGGATTTGGGGGAGGGGGAGAAAAGAAGAGAGCTGGAGAGAGGGGTGTTATTAGGAAAATGGCAATACTGAAGGTAGAGAACTGGGTTCAAAAACCTGCTCATCTTCTAACAGACTTACACGAGCACAGTGTATGAACCTCCTCATTCCTGCACCACAAACTTGCACATTTGACCTTATCCCCACTTCAGCCACAATGGCTCCTCAGTGTAATTGGAATATTTGGGAATCTCAAAATAGTTTGGATTTTGCACACAGGGTCAAAATGAATGAAATATCTGAGTTCAAACTCTGTCAGACTGCCATTCTCCAAATCTGTGCTCCTGTCCCCAAACCTTCCTGAGCAGGGTATTCTCTGCTGACCACCTACAGCCCCTGCATGTCAGGCATCGCACACCTCCGAGAGCCTAAAAGCCCTGCAAAGGGACTTGGAACATGGGAAAACTCCATGCCATAAATCTTAGGAATCCCAGGGTGATGTGTTTAGAAATGTGAAGGAATTGGACCCTCACTTTGTGAATGTTAATAGGCTACTTACTACCCATCTGGTAGAAGTGATAAATTAGCAGTACTGAGCAATATCTCTATAATGTTTACATTAGAAGTAGTTTCCAAGGAGCTGGGAGGGTTGGCAGGGTGAGGAAGTGGCATCCTCAGTACCCACACAGGACCTCTCACTGCACGGTACATGCACCAGCGTGGAGCAGGGCAAAGGCAGAGACAGAAAACAAGAAATGACTGAGAGCAGCTGCTCTCTTTCTTTTCTGGCTAAAAAGCCAAATCCAAAAGATGCTCATTCCTGCTGCAGCCAGCACTTGTAATTTACTGTATATCATGGCCCCAGTCAGAGCTTCCAATGGAAACAACATAAAGTTTGAAGAACGACATGGAAAACAAAAGAAAATCTACAGAAAATCTGCCAATGAATTTGTTCTTTTTTATTCATCGACAATATTTACTGGAAGACAGTCATTTTCCAGAGTGTCTTTCATGTCTGGAAAAACCACAGAACCTATCGTTTACGACAGAAACTGTTTCTTTCTCACTAGACTATCAAAGGCAGCATGAAAAAGCTGATGACTAACAAAGATGTGACTTCAGATAAGAGATTTCTCCCTGCAAGTAATTTTCCCTGTGGCAAGAGTTCGCTTCAACTTCACTGGGAGATGCAGTAGAAGGCAAAGCCGAGCTCTTATCCAACCACAAACATCCAATACAACAGCCAAAGGAAAACAAAGCAACTTGCCAACTCAATTGCACTGCTTAGAAATGGCTTTTTTCCCCCCAAAGCCCCACTTCAGCACATTCAGAGCTTCCACCACACTGCTCAACTCCTCCTTGGGCTGGAGTCTGAGCCTGGGCTTTGGCGGGCTGGGTTCCAGCAGACACCAGGTCCTGCTGGCACGGGCAGAGCAGCTCCCAGCACTGACCCCACTGCCAGCAGCATGAACTGTGCTCATCCGGACTGAATCTGGCCTTGGTACCAGCCAGGCCAGGACAAGCTGGGAAAAGCCTCCCTGCAGCCCTCGGAGCAAGCTGAAGCCTTCAACCATGAGGTGTGTAGTCTGAGGGGGAAAAGCAAAACCAGAAAAGGGCATGAGACACCTAAATCAGAGAGGAAAGAGTGCTGTGCTCCCTGGCTCATCCCTCTGCCAGAGAAGGATTCCTCTCAGACATAACTGCCATTTCCATTTCAATTGATTCCCATGGCAGGGAATGCTCCTTGGGGGATTTCTACAGCCTGACAGATCATGGGAATAGGAAAATGTTGCTGATGCTCAAACTACACACTTCTTCATTCAGCTTTGGTCCCTTATTTCCAGTCACACAGCTCCAGGCAGTCTGCGGATGCTTCCTGGTTATTCCAGAACCGTCTTTCCTATGTAGAAAATGACCATTTCTTATACCCACGTTCCAGAACTGAGGTCATGCCATGGCAGACACTCTCCTGCCCATGGTCACTGATTTGAGACCAAGGGCTGATTCTCCCAAGTTCACAGACAATATTCACTTACAGGCACACACAGCGAGAAGCAAAGAAGCTCCTGCCATTTTCCTGGCAGTGGAGCAGACTGAGCTGTATTTAAACGAACTTCCCTCAGTTATTTGGGGTGGCAGCAGCAGCACAACACTCCTGAGCTGCACAGAGAGGGCAGGGCAGCCCTGCCCCTTAGGAGTCCACACTTGCTGTGGGTGCATGGCCCTAGGCAGGGATCAGCCCATCTCAGTCACAGCGTGATCAGCACATGTCAGAACCCACTGGGACATTCCTGCTGAGCTTCCCTCACAAGCTGGTCCCACCACAGGCCTCCTCATCGCTCCAAAAAGGGTTCATTGGGGGTCAGAAATGCACCCTCCAGGTGGAGAAACACACTCCTGCCTGTGCCAGCACCCCCACAGCACTGCCTGGAGGGGGACCTGCAAACCCCACTGAAGTGCAGGACATGCAGCCTGCATGTCCTGCAATGCTGCATCCCACTGGAATGACCAACACAAGAAAGACATGGACCTGTTGGAATGAATCTAGAGGAGGCCACTAAGTTGGTCAGGAGGCTGGAGCCCCTCTGCTCTGGAGCCAGGCTGGAAGAGCAGGGGGTGTTCACCTGGAGAATGATCCAGGCAGATCTCAAAGCCCCTTCCAGGGCCTAAAGGGGCTCCAAGAGAGCTGGAGAGGGACTGGGGACAAGGGATGGAGGGAGAGGACAAGGAGGAATGGCTTCCCACTGGCAGAGGGCAGGGTTAGATGGGATATTGGGAAGGAATTGTTGGCTGTGAGGGTGAGGAGGCCTTGCCACAGGTTGCCCAGAGAAGCTGTGGCTGCCCCATCCCTGGAAGTGTCCAAGGGCAGGTTGGACGGGGCTTGGAGCAACCTGGGCTGGTGGAAGGTGTCCCCCCATGGCAGGGGGGCAGGATGAGATGAGCTTTAAGGTCCCTTCCAACCCAAACCAGTCTGGGATTCTCTCATTCTGTGACCATTACAGAAACAAACCAACTGAACACATGGAGCTGCAAGTGTGAGTCCTGGGGATCCTCCAGCTTTTCCACCTCCTGCAGGAATACTCTGGTGTTTTCTGGCCAACGACACATCCATGGGAGGCTTTGTCATTTCCAGAGTATTTTTCTTCCCAATCCACACACAGATCCCAGGGTACTCAGTGCAAAGAATTTTGATGATTACCCTTTCCTACTGTTGTTTTGTGGGATTAACTGACCTCAAGACCTAAAGGATAATATTTTTTTTCCTCCAACTTGATGGAAAGCTCAAGGCTTTAGAGTTGCTGAGCTCAAATCTCCCTTGGTGAGTGACCATTTGGAAAGGCACCTCTCACACTGGGTTTCCAGTTGTTTAGTAATTCCAGCTGGGAACCACAGACTACCAGTAATGGAAAGTCTAAGTGCAGCAGACAAGGACAATGACTAAACACTCCAGACACCCAGGATGGAGCACGTACACCAGGTCCTCAGCCATGCTGGCCATTCCACACAGGACACATTCCACGTGGTTATGTGGGGAGATGCAGGGTCCTGGGTCTTTTAGAAAAGAAACCATCTCAGCTGTGAACCTGCCTGAACAGTGGAGAGTTAAACATGGGAAACCCACCACTCAGCCAATTCGTCTACTGGTTTTGTTAGTTTTCAAGCTCCAAGATTTAGATTAAATATATTTTACTGCCTAAGAGAAATCTCCATGTAGAGCCCATAGGTTGCTGTATAAAAATACTGCACTAATTTTAGCCAAGCAGTGTAAATTCACCACTCTAAAAGGAAAAGACAAACCAAATCAGAAAAAAAAATACTTTGAATAGGAAAGCTTTGATATCATTCCACTTGGCAAAGAGCACTTCTCTACCGACTTCAACCCTCATTTTTTTCAGCTACTAGAAGTATTCTTCCCCCTCCCCGAAGATCCTCCATTTAATGGACAAAAAAGTGTTTAAAACAAAACAAAAGCAACTTTGATTTTTTTCCCTCTGTAACTCAGCCCTGTAAACTCCAGCTCTTTTATAGGAGCCCCTGAGCTGCTCCACATCACACAGAGTACCTTTTCTTTTCACTTGTAGCTGCAAATGCACAGGCTCTTCCCCTGTGTGCTGGAATGAAAGAGCAGTGAAGGATTGCGGGTCTGACCTGTGCCTGGACATGCTCTGCATGTCACCGAGGGGGCTCAGCCTTACCTTCCTCAGCTCTTGCTTTGTCCAGAGAAGCTGAAGGGTTTTCAGCAATAGGAGTGGGTCCTGGCCTGGAGGGGGGGGAAGAGAGAGAGAAAAGGAGGGAGAAAAACAAAACAAAACAGATTTATTGGCTCTGTAGAGGCAGCCCAGACACACTGGGGCATTGTTTCACCCGAGAGAAATCAGCTACTCCGTGCACTGTGTTGGAAACCAGCAACCTTCCAACTGCCAGTCAGGATTAGAGTGCTAAACCCCTGCACTCCAAACCCCAGCCGACTCACAGCCACCACCCATGCACGGCTTTAACTCAGCACCCTCAGCTCCAACACTGCAGAGTTGTGCTGGGGCAGTCACAGCTCAGTCCTGCTGCTGCTCCTCACCCCGTCCACCCCCACCCCCTTTTCACACGAAACAAAACGGTCCTGGAAGAGAGAACACCTTGCACAGGTCGGGAAGGGTGATGAGCACACAGATTTTTAGGGAATGGCTCTGAAGTGTAACCTCATGGCAACCTGGGGGTGGAGGAGGGAGTGGGTGAATTTGGGTGCTGGAGGGGAGAGTCTGTCCTTGACAGGCTGGACTGGACACAGGCTGAGGGATCTGGGCAAAGTGGTGTCTGAGGAAGAGGGAAGATGAAATGCTGCTGTGATTAGTGGCAATGCTAAACAAAGAGGGATCCAATATTTCGAAAGAAGGTTATTTGGGATTTTCCTCTTACTTTTCACCTAGTTATTGTAGAACTTGAAGTCAGTTGTTCTTTTGTGTCTATTATCATTCATCATACTGTTACTCATCATGCCAGTATTTCTGAACCAATTTTTTAGGAATAACTCATTTTAAAAGCAGTAACATGTTTGATATTTGATTCTATTTAATGCACAATCATTTTCTTATGAAACCATGACTCAGAATATTCTGAATGAAAATCGTCTATGGCATGAACAGTTTAAATGTGAAGAATGACTTTAAAAATCTGAATGAGCTCTCCAAAACCACTCCTTCTCGTGTACCTCTTCTTATGTTTTCACACAGCCAAAAGAAAATGTTAAACTGAAAAGGAAGCATTCTTTCAATCACCTTTCGTGTTTTACAATTCCTAAAGAGCTCATTTCCAAATGCCAGATTTCATGCTCAGTATCCCATCACACTTCATATTTCAGGTCACAAAAAACTTCCTCAGCTGTGAAACGCTCTACCTCATCCAACTGAACTCTGAGACACTGCATTTATAAAATATTTGAAGTAGCAAGCTGATTACTGGTTGAGCCAAGAGCATGATAATATTCCCATTATCCACTAACCTCTGGGAAACACCAGCCAAATTAAAAATGCCACATTTACAATTCATAAGATAATATTTTCTTTCATCTCTGGTTGTTCTGAAATGTTGAACTCTCCAAACACTGGCAGTTCTCAGCTACTGCTCCTCCTCTGGAAAAAGAAAAGGCTCTTTTTACACCAGAACAGAAGAAAAGCCAGATCCCTACTCCCCACTAAATTAGCAAATTACAGTCAAATTCAACCCATGTGTGTGTGCATATCTGCACACTCTCCTTTTGGCCTAACTCCCAAAGAAATTTATACACACACAGGAAAAAAAAAAACTAGAATGCAATGCAGTGTGTAACCAAATACACTGTAAATCTGAGCTGTAATTAATGCAGGGAACAAGCTGGAATGATACAGGAAATGAGAGCAGTTAAGGAGAGCAGTGTTTCACTTCAGATACAGCCAATAATTCAACTTGTTAAAAAGCTTTCTAAACCTCAATCAACAAACCCAGCCCTTTTCTTACTGACTTTTTCCTGCCTTACCTCCCTGCAACTGAAACCCAAACTCACTGGTTTGAGACACACAGACCGATGGAAACGTCTCTCCAGTCAATTTTAACCAGCTCAGTGTGGTGCCAACATGGCCCTGAGCAGGCACAGGTACATGGGGCACCTTCCCCTCCCCAGACCCTGGCACTGAATGCACCCAGTACTCAGTTATTTCCACAGACCCCACCTGGAGCACTGTCCAGCTCCAGGGTGCTCAGCACAGGAAGGACATGAACCTGTTGGGGCAAGTCCAGAGGAGGCCACAAAGATGCTCCAAGGGCTGGAGCCCCTCTGCTCTGGAGCCAGGCCGGGAGAGCTGGGGGGGTTCACCTGGAGAAGAGAAGGCTCAAGGGAGACCTGAGAGCCCCTTCCAGGACTGAAAGGGGATCCAGGAGAGCTGGAGAGGGACTGGGGACAGGGGATGGAGGGACAGGACAAGGGGGAATGGCTTCCCACTGCCACAGGGCAGGGGTTGAACGAGAGAAACTCTGAGAAATCACCTGTTGGTGACCAAACAGGGCTGCTCCTTTCCTTACCTGGTAAGGCTTGTAAGGATCTAAGGATGAAATATAGTCAGAGGCTAAACATAACAAAATAACCCACATGCAGCAGCTCCCAGAGCCAAACATGAACGGGACAGCAAAGCCACATCATGCCGTTGTCTAATCCCACCAGAGAGGTGGGATGCTGCAGTTCATGCTGGATTTTGAGCTATTGCATCCAGTTACTCTCCAGCTGAGACAGAAGATGGAAATGTGAAGGTTCACATAATTTTGTCTCCTGAAAGAAATGAACAATTCATTTGTTCTGTGTCCTGCAGGACCTCTTTGGAGGACTGGCCTCCTCATGGTTCTCCTGGTACCCATAAACAAAAAATTAGTGTCTTTGGCATTGATGAAGAATTAATAACTACTGCTATATTCCCACTGGAATACCAGACAGGTTCCTGCTCATCCACATCGCAGAAGGAAGCAGCAGTAAACTAATGCCGGGATATCCAAGGAAAAACAACAGGACCTTACAGGGAATTTCATAAGCCTTCCAGACGAATCTGGAGAGCAGACAACTGCTCCAGACACAAGAGAGTGAGGAAGAAATACAAGGGAAGGAGGAATAAAGCAAAGAGACTGAAAACCAAGTGGTCAGAACTGAACCACAAGTGCACTTGGGCTTGGCTCAGGACAAGAACAAGGCAAGGATGGGGCATGGCCAGAAAAACACCTTCATATGGTCCACCAAGAACACCCAGAATAGCCACTGCTGAAGAGAAGTTAAATCCTGCAGAGATTCCTACATCCTGAAGAGATATCCAGCTATTAGCAAGGGACATTCAATGAGCAAAATAAACAAAACATGGATGTAAACCAGCAAAAAACCCCAATGTGGAAAGTCAGAGAGATGAGCTGTCCCTGCTCCAGCTGTGAGCAGCAGGGCTGGCCGGGTCTGCCACTGCAGCAGTCGAGACGTGTCCGAGGCAACTGAGCCCACCCCGTTCCCAGACCAAGGTCCAGAGAGAGTGCTCAGTCTGACACTGATCCTTCCCTTCACAGCTCCAAAAAAGGGGGTTGCAGACCATAAAACACCTGGCAAAGCCTCACCAAAACAAGGTTAAAGAATGTTGGTGGAGATCTCAAAAAGACACATCTGTGCCCACTCCATCAAGACACAAATAACTTTGAGCTTTTCCTCTGAGAGTTTCTCCCAATAGCACGTTCCTGTTTTAAACATTTTGACATTAATATATTTCCTCTCAACATTTTTCATTCTGAAAATAAATGAGCTCTGCCCTGAATCTGGTACCAAAATTGGAGGAGCTGGTAAATCAAATGTCTTCCAGTTCTCAAGATCTGTGGTTACATTTCAAAACCATATAAACCACAAGGCTTATATTTCTGAGTTAGAAAAGTGCCTTCGAGGAAAACCATAAAGTACTTTCTGTTCATTCTCTCCTTTTCCATTGTGCATCCATCACCCAGACCCTGCTGTGATCACAACAAAAGCGGTGCTCACGGGCTGGTGAGGTAGCACTGGGTTTGCTGGTGAGGTTTGCAGGACATCCTTGCAAAATTCTGCTGCTTTACCACCAGTGCTGCTGAAACGGCCTGGCAAGAGAACCCCATGTTCTGACTGAGGCTCCTCGTGTCTCTCACCTGAGGCAAGTGAGGCATCCAACCCCAGAGGAGGAATTTCCCAAGGAAAAAACCTCCTGAGACTTTCTCTTTGTGTCCAAAGCCATTAAATGCCCCCAGATGTTGAGATCTGGAAGAATTACAGTCAGCAAAAGAAAAGATACAGAATGAAGTCAAAAGCAACCCCCAAAAATAAGGCTCAAGTGACTAAAATGCAGTATCACAGCCCCCAAACTGTCACTTACAGCTGAAAGTCATGGACAGGAAAGGTCAAGAACAAAAAGCTAATTACAGAATCACAGAATCATAGAATCTTCTGGGTTGGAAGGGACCCACAGGGATCATCCAGTCCAACTCCTGGCCCTGCACAGACACCTTAACACTCCCCCCTGTCCCTCAGAGTGTTGTCCAAACTCTCCTGGAGCTCTCTCAGCCTTGGGGTTGTGCCCACTGCCCTGGGGAGCCTGGTCAGTGCCCAACCACCCTCTGGGGGAAGAACCTTTTCCTGAGATCCAACCTGACCCTGCCCTGGCACAGCTCCAGCCACTCCCTGGGTGCTGTCCCTGCTCACAGGGAGCACAGATCAGAGCTGTCCCTACAATGGTTATGTTTTCTTTAGGCAGCCAGATTACACCTCTGCCCTGCAAGTTAGTGGGATTTTAATAAATGTTTAATGGAATATCCAACAAATCCAACTCACCCAGTAAACAATCAGTGAATTTTTACTATTACTTATTGCCTTGTATGCCCTCTGCCCCAATAAATCCATGAGATATGTTCTCTGTGAAAACTCCTGTTCATCTCTGATATATCTGAGATATTTTTCAGAAAGGAAAACAAAAATTTGAGACATTTCTGCATCCCCCCCCAAGGGCAGCCAGACTGTTTGGACTTAAAAACTCCAATATATCAGTGTACAGGCAATGCATAAGCTGAGAGTTTGGGTGAGCAGAGTCCTTCAGCCAGCTTGTGTTCCAGCAGCACGATGGGTGCACCCACACTGTGCCCATTAAATTACAGCTGGGAACCAACAAATACTGTGTTATGTAAGAACCAATCAAAGTCTCTGATCAAAACCTACTCTGTCTCAATTTTGTTCAGAAGTGGCTGCAGCTCACA